GAGAAGGAAGAGGATTGGGAGCGAGAGGAGGAGGGAGAAGGCGAGAACGAATGGAGTGGAGAACATGGAGGGAGCTGGGAGAGGAATCACGAACCTCAGGGCGGGAAATTGCGAGAAATTGAAGGGAAATCTGGGGGAAAAAGCAGTTCTAGAATTGAAAGAATTGTGATGGTGATGATGATGGTCTGGAATTGTGGCGGAAATCGAAGAAGAAGAAGAAGAAGCAGTGAGGGTGTTTGGCAGAGAAGAAAATTCCAGTTTCTGGGAAAATTGGATTGAATTGAAGGAGTGGGGTCGGGAGTAAGGGAGCTTCGATTCATGAACCTCAGCCACTGTGACTTTTAGAGAGAGAAAACAAGAAAAAGAAAAAACCAGAAGAGAGAGAAACTGCAATTGCAATTTGGCAATGGCGATGGCGAGAGAAGATTCAAGATCGAAGACGGAAGGAGGAGAAACGAAGCTTGACTCTGTGAGTTAACGGAGTCAAGGTCTCGGAGGGGTTTCTATTTGATTCCGTTAAACGTAACGGCGGGAGCTGCCCGGCTGACCGGGGAGGAAAAGGGGCAGGTTTCGCGGGGGTTTTGTAAGAAAACAGTTGTACGGTCAATGCAAGGGGTTTCTATTCATATAAATATGTGTTTGGTGCTTTGTCATGAAACTTCCTAATTTTATTTTAGTTTCAAATAAGTTTTTTTTTAACCGGATAATCAAATAAGTTTTTTATTGTATGAGGGCCAAATTAAGAGGAAAAAAAAAGATGAAACTTCGGTATGTTACGAAGAAGGGTTTTTTTTTTTTTTTTACAATATATGGGAGTGGGGATCGAACTCACAACCTCACAGTTGAAGATATATGTCAATTACGGTTGAGCTATACTCATTTTGGTATGTTACAAAGAAGTTACAAGATAGTGGTCATGTAATTTTCATATATATTCTTTTTACTTTCGAGTAAAATCCCTAAAGTTTACATTAAATATATTTTAGCCTTTACTGTTAATTTTTTATAATCATTTAACATGAATTTTTTTTTGAATTTCACATCAAATTTACTAAATATAACTTCAAATAATCTATTGAAATGTTAGAAGGACAATTTGGACTTTCTAGTACAACAAATAACAAATGTGAAAGTACGAAAATCTGAACTTCTGATCTTAAAGAATGAATTATATGTCTTTACCACTTTCGTTATGTTCTTGTTTATTATTATTTATTTTTTTAGATATAACTAATTCTTTTAATTGTGTTTTGAATGTTCTTGGATTTGGACCCTACTTATTGTTAGATACTTTTACGGTTGAGTTTGAATGTTATATAATTGAATTTTGAGAATATTTGTTGAGGAAACAATTTTCAAATCTAAACCAACATAAGTTTAGCTCACGATATTTGGTATCTGTCTTTGATCAAGGTTATGATTTCGAATTTTCCGTTTATTATATTAAAAGTGTTAATTTCATTTTTAATTTAGCCATCAATTTGATAAAATTAAAAGCCAAAAGACTAGCTACTCTTAAAATTCCTTTACTAAAAAAATGAAATTCTTAAAATGTCTTCTAAAACTTGTTGAATAGTTTTCGCGGATTCTGTCATTTCATTAGGTATAGTTAAGTAATGGGCTAATGATATTTTTTTTTTCTTTTTCTACTAAACTACCCAATCAAACATTAAACATTAACTTTACGAAGATCTCATGCTATTAAAAAAATTTAAATTAAATTATAAGTTTTGGTATGATCTTTTTTGGTGTCTAATAAATTCTTAAATTTTAAAAAGTGTCATTCATTAACTATAGTTAAGTTAAATTATAAGAAATGTTTTAAAGAGTGGTCGGACCGACGAAGAGTCTTAGGTTGATTTTAAAATGTGTCTAATAAATATTTGAACTTTCAATTTTATATTCAATAGATCGTCAAAGTTGATATTTCAGGAATCCATTAAATACAAAATTGAAAGTCTAGAAATTCATTAGATAATTTATAAAGTTCAAAGACTCGTTACACACAATTTTAAAAATTCAGTAGTTATACGTACTTACAATTTAATAAATATTTGTTTTTCAACATTTTCTTTAACCCTCGCTTGACTGTCATATTTTATTGTTGAAAAAAATAATAATAAATGGGGGCAGGTGTAAAGGCAAAATAAAATAAAAGATTCAAGAAAAGAAGAATTTATGAAATTTTGGTTGGTGAGGGGAGTGAAAAAAAAAGGAAAAAAAAATTGAAAAGAAGGAAGGAAAGGACCAAGGGGGTAGCCATAAAAAGAGAGAAGAAATGGAATGGGTAGCTATTCCTTTCCCTACGCCACCTTGTTCCTTAGTCAACAAAGTGCTTTTGATTTTCTTGAACAAACTTTTATACCTAGTCAAAACAACCTTTTTTAAATTACTAATCTTTTAGCTATTTGCTAATTAATCATAATAATTCAAATTTTATTTTGTAGAAAAAAAAAATGTTACAGGTAGGTTTGGAGTCGGCCACTTAGACCCCTCAAGCCTCAACTTGAATAAGTCGAAGACGAAGCGGATAAGATGGATCAATACACGTAAGTATGACTACTCCAGAGGAGGTCCAAGTTGTTGCTGACCTGAGAAAAGCAAATGCCTCTAGCGGACAATCTGTTGACATCAGATACGGGGAATGTTAGAGTGGCAGAGTCACAATTCCCTACTATCGTAACCTTTTCTCCCGGTGTATGTGAAAAAGAGTGACTCCATCCTTTTTTGTTCGGTCAGAAGTAGGTCCAAAGAACGAGAGTGGGCTTCCTCAAGTCCGTTGTTCCTCAGTAGCTTAGTGATAGAGCGGTCAGCTGTTAACTGACTGGTCGTAGGTTCAAATCCTACTTGGAGAGAATTTTTAGTTATCGCTTTTCTGACCTAGCGACCCCTGTCCTTCTCCTTAGTTTCTAAACGGGAAGAATCGTGGGACATCAAAAGTGGGAAGTTGTTGGTTTTTCTTCCTCACTCTCGTATAGGTGAACTTGGTTCGTTCAATTCTTAGGGAGAAAAAAATGGAATTCCTCATTCTTAGAGGTACGCAATTTCTATGTAAGCTAACTAAGTTTGGGCACGATCTTAACTCATACTAAGTTCTAACTTAAGTTTGGGAGTGTACGTGACCATGCACAACATTGGTGCAAGTATTTAGTTTAGTTACCAAACGTTTACATTGGATACATAACTGGTTTGTACCCTTGGTCCAAAATCATGCATCAACCAAAAAAAAAAGCAAGTATATCATATAGTCCATCGTCTTTTAGAGTTTTCCCAATTCGGTCTTGAATCGTTTAAAATTCTCGGTTTAGGTTATACCATTCTAGCCATTTTGGTTCCTTCATACCAAGTGCCTCTAAGGTTTCTACTGCAGTTGGATGCAGGTTGAGCTTGAAACCTAAGATCAAGAAATCTCGAACACTATACTTTTTTGAATTTTGAATCAAAGGGTTTTGCAAGTTAAATGGGTTTAGTTTTTAACAATCTTTGTTCCTTTGGTTAGTGGTCTATAACCAGCTAGAAAGTCTACGCTATATCAAGTATGAAAAAACTAGCCTAAAAGGTGTCTAAGAACCTAACCCACATGTACATGTATATAAGTTAACCCAAACTATCCTTACCCACCCTAAATACCGTCCAAACAAGCTAATAAGGTGCCTAATTGTTCTAAAGATGGCCAATGGCCAATCACATTATTTGTTAAGATCAAGCTACTTAGGACGTGTCGAATGTGTGCCCTACAACACGTAGTCCACTTGCTTGATGTTAAAACTAGTCCAAAGTGTCTAAGGACCTACACCTTAATAATGTTGTTCAAACACATGTCCACCTGTAAAGTGGCTACCATAATTGCAGGATATAGTCACGCAACTAATCCTTACCACAAATATGCAACCAGTTTCATAACTATGTATATGTATTTACAAATAGATTATTCATACCTAATTAGACGACCTGGCTTCTCCTGAACTGCCTTGAATACCAACGTGATTGTCAAACTTTCGCCAAAATTATTTTCTCCATTTTGTTGACTCGTATATGAGTTTCTCTTTCTCAAAAGCAACCAATTATGCTTTAGTCTTAACCAAATTATGTTTTTATTGTGTTTTTATTGTGTTGTATAACTATAGAAAGCAATTATGCTTCTGATAGCAAGTGATTCTTTCAATTTTAACCTTTATTAATGTATTTATGTTTTAAATGAGTAAACATATAACAATAAGTGAATCACTTGTACTTAGGTGGATTTGACAAAATAAAACTTACATATTTTACTTACGTGTCTCATGTTCGCCCATTCATTCTTTACTTTAATGTTTGACCTCGTGACACATTTGTACTTACCAATCTCAACCTTTTGCTTTCTATAGTTGATGGTGATTATATACCGTCATTACTAATTATAAACAAGAGTAAGTTTGAACTAAAGAGAATATGTAAAATTGCTAGTATTTGTAGTAGGTGAATAAATGGTTTAGACCCTGCACAATGGTAGCATGAAATTTTTTCTAATGAAGAAATGAATCATTTTTGTTCATTGGATACATATTATGTAAAATTATAATTATGAATAAACTAGCTTACTTGCCACTATGGAAGTCTCCCATCCATCGCATTGAAGAATCTGAGGAGATGGATCTGCACGAGCGTCCTCATGAGATGAGTTGAGTTGTTTTCGTATTTCACCCACAATTCCACTTACCTATAAATGAAACTATGAATGACGTGGACAAATCTACATCGAAGTAAGACTACATATGTAAAAGTGTAAGTACACCCACGTAATATAATATTACTTTCATATAATTGAACTTAATAAACATAAATAACTAAATGAAATTTATTGGAAAAGTTTCTTGCAGCCTGATCCCGATGGTTCTCTCCCGACACCCGTGCAGCCTGATCCGAGTTTACCTTGTCTCGACCTTGACTTCGACATTGGGCCAATTACGAAACATGCAGGCCCAAAAGTCCAGAACTCCTAGGCATACTAGGATTCAAATTTGGTAATTCCTAAAGGGATTCAGGTTCGACTTCTATAAATAGGGTAAGCCAAACCCTAGATGTATGCTCACAATACCCTAAACTTCATACTCAACTACTCCGATGAGCTCGTGTGGCAAAAGCCATATTGGTCTTAGTGCTGTTCTGTTTTGCAGGTCTCTGTCGATCTCTTTATTCTAGAAGATTTGGTGCGAATATTGGCGGAATCCTATGAAGCCAAATTTCTGCATCAACAACGTGAGATAGAGAAATCAAACATGTATTATCGTCATATACTTTGTTTGAGCTCGAAATCGCTAAGCTCGGATTAGGTGTAGGTCGGAATGGGCTGGATGATCTTCTCTGAACTGCCAGACGGCCTCCCAGGGCACTCGGGGGACCTGCAAAACAAAGTTAGCACTCCGACGAGCAAGTTAGTTCCAGTCCGCGCTAACTTGCCGATTCTATTTGGGATTGCGTACCTTGCATTTAAGGCAAGAGTTTCTATTTATAAAAATTGGGCCCGACAGGAATTCTGACACACCCTAAAAATACGGCGTGTTGTCGGGTTCGGAAGAGACAGTGTTACTGACTTTT